CTCTCTCTCTCTCTTAACCACCCATATCCCACCATAGTAAGGTAGGATAAGGAAAGGGAGGGGAGAGGGGAGCCCATAATGGCAAAAATAGGTGCAGTTGATATTTATATATCCGTGTGTCTATATATACATATATATATATATATATGTGTGTGTATATATACAGGGGTATGGTGAATACACGTCTCGTTTTCACCAGATGAGTCCCGTTTTTGCAGGAACGGCGGTCCCGTTTTGCAGGGACGGTCACGTTCTTCCGTCTCGTCTGTATTATTTAAAAAAAAAAAAATAGAAATCTAGGAAAACGTATGAGAATAAAGCGTAGTTGAACTGTAAAAATACGCATATACAAACTGAAACGGAAAATGTATAGATCTATAAATTATTATTAGTAGAATCAGTTTGGACTTTGGTCTTTTTCAATGCATGTTTTACAGATCTTTGTGTGCAGATTGTTTGTTCCTAGCCTCTCAGCCAGATACACCCCAGCTTCGAAAGAACAAGTAAACCATTTCAGAACCAAAAGCATAACCTCTGACCTATCAATAATTACCTAACGAATGAGTTAAGAGAGACTCTAAGCTGTGTAAACAAAATGGAAATAGACACTTCCCTTCGAGGAAAAAATAACACGCCTCAAAACAGATAACACGCATTGGAACACTGAGATAACACGCAAGACGCATTCCACAAATGTCACATTGCATGTTCTTACCTAAGGCTAGTTTACAAATTAGAAATCAGATGGAACTGGCACATGTAGAGTTTAGATTTTCTTTTTCTCCTGCAGCGTTTCTTGTAATTAAACATAGGAACTTAAAAAAAAAAAAAAAAGGGAGACAAAATTAAGCCCCTCTTAAATGTAGTTTTTACAACTTCATTACCACCACCAAGTACTTTGCTGACTTGAGAGGGCAATTATGGCTACCCGCATCTAGTGATCATAACAAGCATGTCTTAGTTCGTGTCCTGAAACCTTTAACTAGCATTACACTGCCAAGTGAACAGCTGTATCTTGTTGTTTTCTCTATTCCTTTTCCAACAATCTTTGCAGTTGTCACACGTTGTAAATATTCTTTTCTTATAATATGGCCGACGGTTGCCTCTTGCTGATGTTGATAAGAAGTTGGGGGCGCTTTAGCGATCTGAGTGTGGCTTGGCCAGTCGGCCACAAATTGGTTTGGACTCCGTAAAACTTGGTTCTTGACAGGTTTGTTTTTAACAGAAATTTGGCTGACAGACAATTTTTAATCGTCCTGATGATGATGTTTGGCTCTTTCGACAAAAATGTTTGCCGACCACTGACTTATTCAAATTGTACACTGGCAAGTTAAGTAAGTACAAATAGTCTGCATTTCTCGTCTGTTTAATTTGTCTACATCAACACAGATTAGGACGTGGCTGCATTTACACGAGTGCCTTCAGTTTTTGGTACGGAATATCTAAGTTTAGTTCATCTTCAAAGTGTGAATGTTTGTCTTTTCCCTACAAACAAGGTTTCTATTCTAGTGGTCACCGAATATGGGTTACCAAGTACTTATGAACCTAAACACATATTTCCAGGATGTTTTAACTGATCTCCAAACGAGGTCCGTCGCCATTTACCGCTAGTTTATTGTGAAGAATTGTCGAACGAGAATCACACATTCTAGCTAAACAAGGTGTGAGAAGAAGATGTTGACACTGGATATGACATATGCCATGTAAATCTTTTAAAAGCACAACTAGAATATTTTTTAATAAAACAGATCTGACACAAGGGAATCTATAAAACACACACACACTCACACACACACACACACACACACACACACACACACACACACACACACACACACACACACACACACACAGGAGAATTAAAGTGAGATCAATATTATGGAAGGTCGTTGCGGGAATTGCAAGCAATGGCAGCAACTGGAACAGTATAGTAGAAAGTAAGTTGAAAGATTGTGTTTCAATTGGTGGATACAGATGCAGAAGATATAAATAAAGACAGCAAGGACCGTCCCAGGGCAGATATTGCAGCTGGGATATGACATGTCAGACTTTCATAAATTCTAGGCCATGGAAGGCGAGATAAAGTGACGGAATCCTTTCCTTGTTGCCTTTATCGTTTCAGTCAAATACACAGAATTCTAAGAGATATGTTTTGTTTCTCTAGTGTATGTGTTGTATGTGTGTGTGTGTGTGTGTGTGTGTGTGTGTGTGTGTGTGTGTGTGTGTGTGTACAGCATACTAATAATTATAAATTATTATTATAGCCTAAAAGTATGTATTTTAAAAAAAAGCTAAACACGTATGGCTAGGAGACATTTCGTATAACTGACAGTTGTGGTTTTATGTGAGTCAACCATTTCAAATGTCTACTTACAGATTCCATGTTTACTTGTTAAACTGTTAGCCTTTGTGTCACTTTTTCAGTACATTAACACATATATATATATATGTGTTCCCCACTCCTCTGATCTATACTTAAAGGTTTATTACCTACCTGCTTCTATCCATCTGCCATTTTCTGACCAGCTATACCTTTGTATCATAACATGTCGACACCAGCTAACTGAAGCTGGCGTGTAAACTTAGTGAAATATAAACAAAGAAAGAAAACAAGTCCATTGTCATTTACCTCTGGTATATAATATATTTTTTGTTTGGTTTGTTTTAGTATCCAGAAGCCATGAGTTGTTAACCCTTAGGCTCGGTATTATTGATATCGCAACATTTCGGCCTTAATTCCCCGATACCGTCAATCTGGGAGAAATGTGGTTTTTCTGCCTATCCCCGGGAGTGAACCCGGACCACAAGGAGTTCGTCACCCGGTCACCGCGCAATCCGGTTTAGCCAACTAGGCTAGAGAGTCGGTCTGTATATAATATATAGACGCTCCCTGCGAATCGGAAGGTTGTAGGTTCATGTCCTGATGGAAATGGGCTTTCTTCAAAAATGACCTTTGCCCCCAGGTCGACCCAGCCTTGAGTGGGTACCAGGTGTAGTTCTTGGAAGTAGAGGCAGCCGGTGTAATGTGGACCACAACAAGTGCCGATTGGTCTATAAGAACTATGGATGTAGCCCTAAATGCCCTATACGCCTCAAGGCGCTGGAAATGGTCCTTTATTTTTAAGTATATAGTAAATGATTGATAAACTCTGTAAGAGAGCTAAACATATTTTAGATAAAGCAGATGGGAAGAGAAGACGTTGACTTTGAGTAGGAAAAATGCTGAGTAAATCTTTTAAGAGTATAACTAGAAATATCAGTTTATAAGGACAGACGGGACACAGGGGGAAAAAATACACGGAAGAGAATTATTGTCAGATCGATCAATTACATGGAGAGGTCGAACAATATAAGCTAAACAACACATTTTCCTGGTTACAAAATTAAATATAAGCTTTACTCCTAAATGAGTTTCCATGTTTCGAGTTGGCTAGGATAGTCAGTGGTTTGTCAGAGCTATTTGCTTTCAATAGCTTGGGCAAAATATGAGACTATAAATTGTAAAGTTATCAAAGAACTTACGAATATTCAACTCTAATGTTATTTCAGTTTTAACAAATGCAAGGGAATGTTTGAGAACCACTAAAGATATGGGAAGAAAGTTGATGCATTGGAACACAAATGTCTGAGGAAAGAAATGAAAATAAAATAGGATCAATTCACAAGGAGCGACAAAATAAGATAAATGCCTGGGCAACCACTAGTATCAACAGTTATAAGATAGAGAAGATGGCGCTACATTTGGACACATCCTGAGAAGAAACCAGCAGAGAATCACCAAACAGGCACTGAAATGAGAAATAAAGGAGGCGGGGACAAACATTAACGAGAGAAGCCAACGCTTCTGGACTGCATTCCATCAATGATATTGAACTGATTACACAGGATAGATCTGAATAGAAGAATAGATTGAGAGCCCTATGTGACATTCAACAGCACAACAGGGCAATGAATGAAATGAATGTCAGTTATTATCAAAGAAATGTTTCGAACTGTAAGCTTTCATTTACACAAGATTTTGATTAAATAAATGAAAAGGCAAGGCACGTTTCTATGTGTCCCCCCGCCCCCAGAATATCGCTCTTATCATAGACCACTTGAAATCTCCCGCCACGTCCACTTGTGTTCCCAAGATGTATCTTATATCCTTTGCCCATCTTCGCGGTAGTCGGCCCCTGTCCTTCTTTCCTGGTATCATGCTCTCTCACACTATAGATTTTCACTAAATCCACCATTTCTTTTAATACTGCAGTTGTATTTCAGAATATAAGCTCATACTAATGTGCCCAGATAGGACGTTTTCAGGAAACGAGTCAGACTCCAAATTTTAGCCCCAGAATACGAGGCGAAATTCTGGATGCAAGCTGCATTCTATATATATATATATATATATATATATATATATATATATATATATATATATATATATATATATATATATATACTCAATCACCCATACATACGCCTACACCTCTTTAGCCCTCGCTGCCTGACGAACGAAGTATGTGATTGCATGCTTTTCAAAGCAAATTAGTTGAATGTATTTTCAGTTTTTAGTTTTTAAATTTGTATTATTGTAAGCAATTCTGTGAATCTGATAAAACACAGGTTTAGAAAAAAAAAAACACGAATATAGTTACTTTTAGAGTGCTTCAAAGAATTAACATTATTTACATAAAATTGTGTGTAAAAATTGTTTCAGAATACCAGATATTTATCACATGAGCTCAGTCAGAGAACAGATCAAACTCTTATCTTGAGGGTCTACTGTACTCAGGTACAACTGCTACTTTCACTCTATCGCCCCTCTTGTTTTAAGTATTTATGTTCGGGTTCTTAGCTTAACTCATTCAGTTCCAAAATATCTACTTTATTTGTAAACAAGCAGAAACAAAAAGAGGGACGGTTTCAGACAACAGAATTAAAATACAACAGTTACCTGAAGAAGAAAACATGAGTAAATATGAGTTCAGAGCAAATGTCATTAAAAACAGACAGCCTTACCTGAAGTTACTGCACGGATGTATAACCCAATTTCCAACACGCTTGTGTCTCATCTTCTCCTTGATGAGGGCACTCCTGTTGCCAAAAAGCTTCATGGCAAGCTTATTATCGGAAGGTTGGAAGAAATTCATGATTTGCTCTCTCAGATAACTGGTCGTACTGGAGGCCTTTAGAATGCCATCGGCAGCCAGTGTGTCGCCTGTATTGGGAGCCTCCTCCTTCGGAGTCCCGTATAAGCTGTTTTCGTCACCGAGCAACTGCAACTTGCCTTCGTGTGTCTTGTAGTTAATCTCCGGGCTCAAATAGTCGCTGTAGACAGAATCCGAGTCAGAGTCGAGTGTTATAGTAATCGACGGATTGACATGTCCGCTCAACACGACAGTTGGCGCGCTCAAGTTACCTGTATTGTTTGCGCCACATCCGATGCCACCTGTGTCACCAGGTATCAACTTAGCTCCACCTGTTCCAGCTCCCCCTCCCCCACCCCCTCCCCTAGATCCAAGCACGTGAAGACGTTTAAGCTTAAGACTGGGAACCCGGCGAGCTGGACGGTTGACGCCGCTAGCTGGATTCGATCCAGCCATTCCCGCGACTGATGAGCCGTGCCCGCCACGCTGAGCATTGCCGTTCGATGACCGGCAGAATTTGACAGAGTCGGAGCGCTGAAGAACAGGTGATGCCAGCGTAGCTATATTACTGGCGGGGCTGACAATCTCGCTGGCCGCGCTCAGCACTACTGCCTCCTCCGAACCGAGCGGGTCACTAAAACTATTGGCGTCAAGAAGCGCTTGGTAACTGGGTGGTTCCGTATCCGTGACCAAAGTCCCGTTCATTCCCCCTTCTGGTTTAAGTGAGAGGGAAGCTACGCCGTTTGTTAACATTTCCCCCTCCGTTGGTGTCACTTTAATTTCTCCGGCCCCGTTCACATCCCAACGTATGGTTTCCCCTTCTTCTTTATTTCTTAGCCTTGCTTCCCTCCTTTCATCGCCGTCTCTACGTTTTATTAGAGGGGACGCCATCGGTGGTGTTACCAGAGCTGAAGAATCGTCATCAAACTCTTCACCGTCATACTCGTCATCCGTGGTACTCTCTCGTCGACGACCACTAGAGAAAGGCGTTTGGTTCGTCGAGTAGGTGCCGGGTGGTGGTGGGTATGCCCCGGGACCAGAAGTGCAGGCGTTCACTGATGGGAATAAGAGGTTAGAGGCAGGTGGAAATGTGTTAGGACTTCCACTGTAGCCGGACGATGCGGACCTGGCAGGTCGTAACGTTGGATAGTCTATTGCCGACATGCTCCCTGGCGTTAAAATATATCTGGTTTTTTGTCACTGCAAAGAGAACAAACATAAATAAATCACTGAATTAGTTGTGACTGCAGTAAAGTTGTGTAAAACACAATTTACAAAATCCAAAACACAAAAGAACGACGCACATGACAGTTTTACAGAATGCAGTTACAATAAACAGGCAACTCGTGCTGTGACGGCAAGTTTTCATCACTGAACAGTAACAGCAACAAACATACATAAGGAAATGAGGTAGCGGTACTGCCATTACTTCAAGGGACTGAGTGGGCTCGAGGCATGCCGTTTGCCTGTCCGCCCAAATGCTGAACGTCTCGGGTTTATGCAATAGTGAAGACTTTTTTTTTTTTTTTCACTCGAACTTCTGGTTAATTTCCCCTTGTCTCTGTGTAAAAAGACCCGATTCCAGCGTGTATTGTTGTGCGGGTAAAAAAAAAAAAAAACCTTTGGCAGTTAGAAATCGAAAAGAGTAGTGCAACAACACTGCCCGAGAAAAAAATGTGAAGTTAAAAATATACCCAAAGTAGTTCAGGATTTGACCGGTGCTACGGAGTTCGTGCACTGCGCTGATAACCATCGGCCTCAGGCTTGAGTTATAAGTAGAACGGAGCACTTATGGGTTACTAACCTTGTGCCATGAGGTTGATCCATTGTTCAAACCAAACCAAACTGTTACTGGAGGTATCTACCACTATTGCGGTGTAAGCAGTGGGGTGAAGTGGATCATTAAACCTGAAGATTTAGGGCCGCATGGCTAGTGCTGTTACCACAGACTGTGCAGAAGGTTGAGACTTTCTTTTTGCCAACAGACAGACTGGTCTCCCGCTTGAGAACCAAACGTTCTAATAATTCGGCAAGCCGCTCTTCCGGGCTGTAGTACTTTACAGCGAAATGAGGATTTTATGTTTAGAAAAAAAAAAGTTAAAAGAAAAAAAAGAAAGAAATAATGAATAAATAAACTACACAGAGACAAATAAATTGGGATATTTATCTCCGTGGCTCCTAATTTTAAAAAGGAGACAGGGTGTCAAGTGCGCACCTGCACGCACACACACGCGCGCGCGCAAACACACACGCGAAAAAGGCACGTGCTCGAGCGCGCGCACACATACACACAGCGAAACAGACAGCGAAAGAGAAACAGCAACATGCATTCAGGCAGAGAAACGGACACTCTCTCTCTCACACACACACACACACACATAGTGAGACAGAGAGAGAGAGAGAGAGAGAGAGAGAGAGAGAGACGGGGGGAGAGAAATAGAGAGAGAGAGAGAGTGTGTCCAACAATGTTGGTGGTACAAGTTACAGCAAAGGGACCATATGATTACCACTGTCGCTCTGCAGCGTCTCTTAAGAATAATCGAAATCGTGTTCTTGCAAGCAATAATCCTGCCAGTGTTCCAGAACTTGAGTTTTGCGTGCACATCCATTTGTGTGCAGATTGATGGTTTTTCGATTCTCAGGCAGATGAACTCAGACTTCACAGGAAACATTTGTTATAATCCCTTTTATGGCATGCGTTTTTTTAAAGTAGGGATACAGTGGGCCTTCTCCCACCCCCCTTCCTCCCCCACCCACCCTCATCCTAAATGGAGCTAAGGAACCGACACAGAAATCCACAAGGTTTAAATTCAGTGCTCAACTGATAACAACAATTCAACTACATACTGTGTATGACAAATGTGGAATTTAAATTCCTTTTTACAATTTCAAATGTACAGCAAATATTAAACACACCGTCAAAGGGTGGTGAATATGTCTTTAGCGGGTAATTTTGTCAAGACTGTTTCCGGAGAAAACAAATGCAAAAAAAAAAAAAAGGTTGAAATATTGCTGGGGGTGTGTGAGCTTTAAGTAACTGCACGTATGTAAGGTCATGACATTTTGGGGTCGTGCTTGCATGTCTGTTACCTCAGGAAATGTTTTTTTAACACATCTAGAAGGATTCTGGATGTTTATTGTTTACCATCGTTATGTAGCAATAGGTTACGCTCTGGTTCTCTGTTAGTCAGCAAACGTGTAACCTCTTTGATTCTGTACAGTTTTCACAGCAGCTCATTCAACGCAATTCAGGCAAAGGAAGCTTTTCGAGTCATCCCAAAGCTATTTACCATTAATGTTTTATCTGTGAAACCGTACTTACGGTGAAAGCAACAACAACACAGTTATTGCTGAAAGGCGACATTAAATTAGATGGAGCAGATCTAAACAAATTTGGAGTTAAAAGTCTACCCAAAGTAAATCAGGATCCTCGCCTGTTCTCCTGAGCCTGTGCACTGTGCTCAGCTTCTTCGGACTCCGACTTGAGTTAGAAGAAGGAACGGAGTACTTATGGGTTTCTACCCGTGTGCCATGATGTTGATCCGTTGTTTAAACTTCAAACTTCAAACCTCTTACTACAGACATATTTCTGTATATAATCAAATCAACTGGACGTGAATTTTCAAAAATCATGCACCCCTGTCTCTGTTTTATCAGCTATCCTTTCCGGTAGTCTCAGTCAAAGGTCACGATCAGTCTATGCAAGGCTGTAATAACTTCGTTTAATAGTTTCGACTTCAACTTCAAATAGCAAAATAATAACGTCAGTGTATGATTATACAAATCAGGCCACGCAAAATACAGTTACATTATTCTGCGGCTGTAGTAACTGCATCAATTCCAAAACGTAATCATTTCATTATGTTGTTGTAGAAAAGTCTGCGACTGTGACTTATGAGTTGCGAACACATTTCGTAATACCGGGGTGTCGAATTCGATCCAACTAAGGGCGAATTAGCATCAGAAAGTCTCAAGTTAGTTTCGAAAGAGGTACCGAGAGCTGACCGTTTAGGAGGCAAATACGAACTACTAAACGTAACATTTACCTAGAAAAAACACAACAGTCAAATAATGCTATGGTTGGTTCTGCGGTGTCCTGTAGAGGATACGCAAATAACTAACTTGTTATAGAAACAATACCAACAAAACTTGCAATAATTTATGTGTGTTAATGTAGCAACCACGTCAGCTCGAAGCTATTGTTTAATGGCAACCCCCTGTTAACAGGCACTGTCTGTCCATTTATGAAAACAAATCAAGAAATGGGAAACAGAGGCACCGTGGAAACGAAGACAACAAGAGATACCCAGAGGCAAACTTTGATAAGAGACGACAAATGTACTAGACTGGAGACGGTCAGTGATATCGAAGTGATTTCACCAAATGGACAAATCAGCTGCGAGCCCTGTGTGACTTATAACGGCACAATAGGACAATGAATGCATGAATGAACTCCCCAAAGCGTAAAACTGTGAATATTGACTCAGCTACTTTATTTCCGTTTCACAGATCATCACAATATAGTCAGCCATCAGTATTCCGACGGATACGATCTGTCCTATTTTCATATTCAATGAGTCGACCAGACATACCGGCACTATCTCATAGTGCGTCCCAGATCGATCATTGCTCTGAACAGTCGCTATCAATTCATATGCTTCTCTTTTGTCAGTCTAGTTGTCTGACTATTCTGTTCTGTCTGTCTCATTTAGTCAATATTAGTTTGTCTGTTTATTTATCTACTTACCTAGCGGTTTACCTATCTATGCATCCGCTTATCCGACGGCCTGTCAGCCTATCCAGCCAACCAGATTCCCACTTATCGTTCTGATATATACATACATTTTATATATATATATATTTTCGATTCTATCAAACTGGTCTTAAAATATTAACATAGATCACATGGCACAAGATTAAATTACTGCAAACTTCTTATTATAATAAGCATTTGCGGTATTTCTTTTAACAGAAATGTTTTATTTTGGACAGAAGTCAGAAGTCTTCGTGATGCTGTTTTTCATGCACATTAGTAATGGTCAGTTCAAACGTTACTGGCCCATTGTGCTTCAAAGTAATGTTTTTATTTGTGTTTTTTGTTGTTGTTGTTGCGTATTAGTCTTTAAAAAAGTTGGTTGCACAGTTGGTTGCCACCATACACATCGACATTCTGAGTGCAATTTCAACATTAGGAAAAGAAAAGACAAATTTTAAACTGTTCAAAATTATTTTCATGTACAGTTCAGGAAGAGTCTTTACATTTTTTTAACAACCGTGTAGTGCTTGAGATACTCACATTCATTTAAAAAGTCATAATAATTCAGGTCTATGTTATTCATATTAGCCAGATATATTTTTACATTTTTTTTCTTAACAAGCAATAGTTTTCCATTCACCAAAGAAGGAAACCGATTTCCGATTTGGGAATAAACAGGTATTGTCAGTTCAGAAATTATAATGTCCAGAACAGAAAGAAACGTTTCCATCTTGAACTTTTCTGTTATAGTGAGAAGTATCTCCTTTTGCACTTCTGCTGATCCATCATATCTACTAAGACATACTTTAGTGTCGTTCCGCTTTCTTCTCGTCGCTGTAATCTGTATCCGGATTATAGCATAGTCATTAAATGTCTCTAATTTCCTGGAGATATGTTTTCAAAGAGCCAAGAAATGGCTTGACGACATAGATATCCGCCTCATTTGATTTCATAACATTGCTTCCTTTTTTTAAATTCATTCTGTTTAGCATGCTATTCCAATTGTGAGAAAGATTGTCTGTTATATTTACTATTTTGTGTTTAATCTTTCTGCTTGTCTCTTAGTTTTCACTGGCTGTTCATCGTCGTGCATGTTTTGATTTCTCCAAACCGTCGTACTGGTCATACACAGCATCACAATGTGCTGACCATCCAGTCAGACAGAGGCTTGACCCACAAAATCTGTTCCTAATCATGATATCACTTCATTCCACAGATAAGTTTAAAAACAAAAGTAGCTGAACAATGTCAAAGAATGTTATAGTCTAGACTACTCTCTGCTTCTTTTACTTACACCAAGCACAGACTGTCAAGCATAGAGGACTTAGATGGCAAACTCACCATGTTGGATGAATCTGAGCTTACAATGCAGTCAATCGTCCAGACATATTGGAGGCATTATCGTGCG